AGAATTCCAGGTTGGTGACCGTGTCCTCTTGAAGGTCTCACCCTGGAAAGGCATTATACGTTTTGGAAAACGTGGAAAGCTAAACCCGAGGTACATTGGACCATTTGAGATCCTTGCTAGGATCGGTCCCGTAGCATACAAACTACAGTTACCGCGAGAACTCAGCAACGTCCATCCTGTCTTCCACGTGTCGAACCTAAAGAAGTGTCTGTCCGACGAGACACTTGTGATTCCTCTCGACGAGATCGAATTGGACGAAGGTCTACACTTCGTGGAAGAACCCGTCGAAATCATGGATCGGGAAGTCAAGCGTACGAAACAGAGTCGCATCCCGATAGTGAAGGTTCGCTGGAATGCCAAGCGGGGGTCCTGAATTCACTTGGGAGCGCGAGGATTCAATGAAGCTGAAGTATCCCCATCTCTTTCCAAGTTCATGATTGTGCTTTATTCTTGAATTTCGGGACGAAATTCCCTCTAACGGGGGGATGATGTGACAACCCGGGAACTTCAATCTTGTACACTTAGTCAATTCAATCAATATTCAACCTGTTTTGGTGATTTCTGGTGCTATTTAAGGGTTCATTTAAGTGTTCTAAGCTTGAATTTAACCAAGGATGAGTTTAGGAATGAGTCAGAGTGTTGAATAGTGAGAAAATCGGGCCATACACACCTCTTGGAGGAGTGCACGGCCGTACACAGGCCGCACACCCACTCCCTTAGCAGCACACTCACACATGACAACACTCACACTCCTATATAAAGGGTAGACCCTTCCTTTCATTCCTTTAGCACCTTGGCAGCACACAATATCATTTCCTCTCAAGTTTCTCCAACTTTGAACCTTCCAAAGCTTCTAGAACGTAAGTACTTCATTCTCTATCTTGCAATCCATGAAAGACCACTCTATCCAAGCTCTAAGTGTGCAAAAACGTCATGTTCTTCGTGCATTGGAAGTGAGTGCGGCCGCACACCCTCTTAGGGTGGTCGCACCCCCTTAAAACACCCTCCAAAGTGAGAGTTTAGCTTCCATAATCGAAGAGGACATGCCCCTAGCCTTGTTGCACCTTGGAATAGACAATTTGGGCATCATTTTGAGGGGTGTACGACCGCACACACCTGTGCGGCAGCACACTCCAAGTGTGCGGCCACACACTCTTGTGTGCGACCATACACTCATTTTAGAACCATAAACCCACTTCTAGGACCATTATCTTGCACTACAATTGAGTATAGACCTTGAACACTTCGTGGATGTGAGTATGGACCTTGAGAACACTTCGAAGACACCTCGTTTCATGAGTGTACGGCCGCACACCCATTGGGCCGCACACTCATGGCCGCACACACCCTCTGTACGGCCGCACACTCCTGTGTGCAACCGCACACACAGCCTGGCCGCACACCCTGGCCGCACACACACCCTAATGACCATACACCTCCTTCGTTTGATCATATAGGGTCCCGACAAGCATTTCCAAGTCTCTAGAGTGGTTTTCCATCACTTATAGTGGTGAAATACTTTCATTTGACTCTTTTATGTGTCATTGCGTGATAATTAGGATCGAATTGTGATTAAGGCTTCACTTGAACACCCAGCTTTCCGTATCGATCCTTCAATCAAACCACTCGCTCGAGGTGAGTTCATACCCCTACTTTTTCCGTGTTTTTAATGCTTTCAGGGGGAGGATACAAGCTAAACATAAATGCTTAGAAAACTCATGCAATTCTCATACTTTAACCCCTTTTGTACTGTGTTGAGCATAAGGGTCGTTTTTCACTAAAATTGCATAGTTTTCCGGATTTGCTATTCACTACGTTATTCATGCAAGCTATAATCGGTATAGTTTGGGATTTTTAAATATAACAAGTACATGAATTTTCACTACTAAACATATGCTTTAAGACAGGGATAGTTTACAGTTACATCACTACTTTATCATGGTATTCATAACTGTAATTTTCACTATATACGGTATACATACGGGTTTTCGCTACGATAAAACGCTAGGACACTACATGTAAACTAGATTGTACGATACTGTGAGGCGCTACTTCACTACTGTACCCTTAGGTGTACAGGGATAAATCCTATCATAAGTATAACCAGAGTCTCCTGGAGGGAGAGCGTGAGATTTGTGAATAGATCTATTCGAGATTGACAATCCCACACCCGAACTGCTAGCTACAATTGGGCAGGCATGCCCAGGGTGACAAATGTCATTTAACTCGACGCCTGAAGAACGTTGGAAAGGTCTCTAGTCATATCAAGCATGGTTATACGACTCACATTATGTATAAATCACCTTTAGTTTACAATCTCACACTCTTCAACGGTTTTATTTATACTAAATAGAACTAACACACTACGTATAAAGGCTGAAGCCAAGGTTTTCAACCAAAATCGTTTATGCAAAGATTTCATATACAATATACTTATACTTCATGATTAGCCTTAGCTAGTCACATGAAGTAGTATTTTCACACATATCACTACAATTTTCAGTAACGAACATTCATGGTTTATATGGAACGGATAACGCTACATTTTTCACTTAAAGAAAATATCGGATTTTCTTGACGCTATACAAAATACTTTTTTTTACGAGCTCATCAACAAGTTTTCATTACAAACTACCGTTTATGAACTCACCAGCTTTATGCTGATATATTTCAAAACTGCTTGTATTTTCAAGAAATCAGTAGACAGGTACTTGCTGGATTTTGAGAAGCTGGAGCAATAAGAGTCTTATGTTTATATTATATATATACTCTCCAATGTAATTCAAACAAGTTTTCAAACTGATGTAAACATTTTCATATATGTATACACTGTGATGGTTGTGTTGCTATGGTTGCTATTATACATTGGTTGTGATGCTATACATGACGTCCTCCGCCCCGGAACATTTCCACCATCGGTTTCGGGGTGTGACAAATACGATTATCGGTTTTTGGGACTTAATTAAAAAAATATATATATAAAGACTAATCGATTATGAGACCAATATGTAAGTATTTTATTGTAGTTTTGCATTGTTTATATAATAATTAAACTCAAACCAACAAATTGGTTAGGCCGAAGAGTATGTACGGGAAATTCTCTCACTTTTTGTCTGTCACGTTATCATTTTCCTCACTTTTTTTTCCTCATCAAACGCCAGGGTGTGTGCGGGAAGCTTCATTCACTCTTTTTTTAAATAAAAATAATTGATTTGATGCATATATATATATATATTATATATATATATATTATATATATATATATATATATATATTAAATGAGTAAAAAACATAAAAATTATTTAAAAATAAAAACCACATCATTGCTTAAAAATTACATTAAAATAAGCAAGATTTAAAAAAAATAAAAATTAAAAAAAACTAGAAAAAACAAATATTAAAAAAACACAACTTAGAAAACATAATTAATATCTGAATTTAAAAAAACCAAAATACGTCACTGGGAATTGTCGTCATCGTCATCGACATCACCGTCATCGTCATTCTCATCGGAATCCTCGCTCTCGACGACCATATTCGAATCCTTATTTGATTCGTAAAACAAATCATCGTGTCAATACTCTGTCGGCAGCTGAATGTGAGCCTTATAAACATGCTCCACCAAATCAGCACGAAGGGCGTGATGAATGTCGGAATCGTATACTTCTTTTCTATCTGCCCTATACTCTTGCGTACCAACAGCTACTCCTTCGACATTTGGCAAAACTTCGTTTTCGTTGTATCGACATATCGCTATCCTTCGTCTTCAAGAATCATATTATGATCGTTCCCCGACTGTTAGTACTGGCCAACACCTCTTGAGTACACCAAATGTTCACTCCAGTCCTTCCTAGCTAACTATTGCGCATCTTTAAACTTTTTTCTTTTTTTTGGTGTTCAGACATATAAACGATTTCACAAAAACAAATACAGGAGGATATAAAAAATTAAAAATTAAAAAAAAGTATAGTTGGGTGTATTATATATATATATATATATATATATATATATATATATATATATATGGTTGTTTAAACTACATAATCTAATATTAAGTATAGAACCATTTAAAACTATATAATTTTAACAAAATTCAATCAAATATCTCTATCATATTTTTTGTATCCTATAAGAGCTTATGTTAGGGTTTGTATATATTTTTTTATGAAGTTTTATAAGTTTAATTTTGCACCACAAACTATGTATAAAAATATTTTACCAACTACATGTAATTCGGTATATTGAAATTTAATACAGAAAACTATAGTGAAAGATTGAAAATTTTTCATTAAAAACCCAACAAACCTCTTCCCATAATCCATAAAAAAACTAATAAATAAATAAATAACAATGCAAGTGTACATAAGGTAGGTGTCGGAGGAAGTTATGAAGCTTCTACTAGAGGTCTAATAAAAAACACATTCGAAATACATAGATGTTGAGGATGCATTACAAAATAAAAAATTATATGAGTTCAAAAGCAATAGAAAGAAGCTGACAGTAAAAGAAAATTGTGTTTTTTAATCAAAATGAAGTCAATTTAAATTGTTTTGTACCTAATATTAAATATATTACAGCCACATATTCATTTTTCATATATATATTTCCAATTACATTACCGTTTAATAAAAAACGGCCAATAGGAATCGGAGAGTGCGTCAACCGACTCCCCCATCTATTTCTTGCACCACTGTTCTCGCAGTCACGGTGCGGTGTTCCGATGTGTGGGAACGGCTCCTGCACCCCATTCTCGTTGCACACTAGCGAACCTTATATATATTTGACATTGGTAAAAAAAATTTATTGATCTTCGAATTTAAAATTATAAGAAAAAGTTTCTTCCTGTGATATTTTTGTAAAAAGCTCAAAATAAAAAAAAAAAATCACAAAAAAAAATAAAATAATAATAATAATAATAAAGTAAAAATAAAATACAAATTATGGTTTTAACATTGCTGTGAAAAATGGGATGATGGTCCTTGCAAAAAAAAATAGGGCAAAACGAAGACCGGACCACCCTTTACCTTTTTCTTCCCTTCTTCCTTCGTTAACAAAACCTTTCTTGCCATTCGGTTTCTTCCCTTGGAGCCATTGGAGCGTGCTCCACACTTCCAGTTAGCTCTCTCGCAGCCAATTTCTCTCTAAAACGCAAGTAGATTCGTTGAATCCTACATTAATTGATCAAAGTTCTCATATATCTTCTTGAAATTTAAAATTATCGGAACTGCTCCGTGATATCGTCCAGGTATTGATCAATGTTGTTTGCTACTGATACCCGAACTCTATTCCGCCCTGTTGGATCAAGGGTTTTGCTTGAAATTACTTTAATTTGTTTAAAATTGTTGAGAATCGCTAGACCGGCTTTGGGTTTCTGTTGATCAGGAACTATTTGACAAAAAAAAAAAAAAAAAAAAAAAATCTTAGTTGAATGTTGTGGACTACGATTGGTATCAAAAGCATATTCTTTTGATCTTAGCACAATGTTTATGCTGAACAGAATTTCTATTTCCAAATCCTTCACATATACTTACTCCGTTATTTAGTTCACAGTTTCCATACTTAGGTTGCCCAAATTTCTGTAAACTCCAGCACTATTCCTATTCTTGAAATTAACGTTTTTTGTATCTTGAAACCGATCAATGCTGCTTAATATAACTAAAACTATCTGATCATGTATCAGAAAAAGGGCTTAGTTCATATACTTTTGTTTCAAATTGCCTAATTCACAGCTTCCAAAATCTTCTAGGAAATGTCAAAGATACAAACTTTATCCAATTGTTAATATTTTGCTACTATGTGACATTTCAGAAACTCTATTTGCTCAGATGGCCAATAATTCTCAATATCCTGGCATACAGGTAGTAGTTTATAAAGTTATAAAAAAATCTTATAAATTAAACAAGTATTTTCCTCAATGATCTTATTCTTCCACTTCCATTATGATACAACAACAGGCTCCTCGACCTACTGTTGCTGCAATGGGCCCACCTCAAAACTCATATCCATCAGTCCCAATGCAAGTAAGTCTTCATGTTCAGAATTCAGATATTCTTTGTGTAAATTCTCCATTTTTTTCCTTTTTATTTTATAATCTGAAGTAATATTTTATTATTTTATGTAGTTTCGGCCAACAGGTCCACCAAGGGCCCCACCCCAATACATGCCATTGGTGTCCCAACAGTTTCTTCCTGTAGGGAGGCCAATGCAACATCTACCGCCACATGGCATGGTGCCACCTCCCCCACCAACACCTGCCGCCCAAGCTTTTTCAGTCCCTGATGGCTCAAGGGTTGCCTTTTCTATAACATACAATGTAAGATACTGAAAAATTAAAATCAACCAAACATCATTGAAATATGTTGTTGAATTAATTGAATTCTTTGTTTATAACAGACATCAGCAACTTCACAAGTGCATATAAGTGCAGAAGCAACTAGCCAATATCAGCCAACATCATCCTTAAACAACATTCTACCTACTTTTCCTCTGTTGCAGCCTGTTGAAAAAACACCAGATGCACCTTCTGTTTCAGTAAGGATCAAATTAAGGATTCTTTTTGGTTTTAATGTTTTTGGATGCAGCATTTTTATAAAAAAATTAAAATATTAGGTAACAAGTGATCTACTGAAAGCTGTTGAAAAGGCTCCATCAGATTGGATTGAACATACTTCTCGCAATGGAAAAAGGTATGATTTTGATACTTTTATAAAAAAATATATATATATTTTTCTTTAGATTATTCCTAAAGTATAAATAACTGTTTCTGTTTCAGATATTATCACAATAAAAAGACAAAGCTGTCTAGCTGGGAGAAGCCTCTTGATTTAATGAGCCCAATTGAGGTGTGTAAAATGTAAATAAATGATTGAGTTATTGCTTCCTCTTTATAATTTGATTCTAATTCCATTAATCTGCTCTTCCAATTCACATTATGTTGAATAAATGGAACTATTAATCTTCTGTTTATAATTTATATGTGCTACATTATATGTTAAACTTTTATATAATCTCAATTATGAACAGAGGGCTGATGCATCTACAGATTGGAAGGAATGCATTGCTCCTGATGGAAGAAAGTATATAATCCACAACCCTCTTTTCCATTTTTTTATATTTATCTTTTTATCCATGAGTTATCGAGTTCTAATTTTTTTTATCTTGATAGATATTACTACAACAAGGTTACAAAGCAATCAAAGTGGAAATTACCAGATGAACTCAAGGTCTTTTCTCTTTTTCAAATTTCAACAATCCATGGCCCTTTATACACCTTTTTTTTTTTTTTTTTTACTGATTTGACAAATTGACTTATGAATATGCAGTTAGCTCGTGAACAAGTGAAAACTGAAAGTAAAACCAAAGATCATGAGTTAACAAAAACAAAAGATGTTGATAAAGAACATGAAATTGAACCCTTGGTTCCTAGTGTAAAAAATAGCCCATCTTCTCATCCTCATGAACCAGTGTCAAGCCCAGTTTTAGTTCAATCAGGAACTTTGCTGACTGCTGAGCTGGCAACGGGACCCACAGAGTCTTCTAAAGAAGTGAAGGCTTCTGAAGAAACATTTCCCAATCATGTTGCCACATCATTGTATAATAACACTGAGGATGTTTCAGTGAAAGATGCTGAAAATGGAACTCCTATTGGTAACTTAGAGGTAATTTTTTTTTATTTTTTACAGTTGCTGTTAGTTATAAGTATTTTATTTGATATAGTTTTTTTATGATTTACAGGAACCTGAAAAGAGCAATGTAACTAACTTAGAAGAAAAAACAGTTGATCAGGAAACTCAAGTTTATGAAACCAAACAGGTATTTAATTAATTAATTATTTGTTTACTTTTACTCAAAAATGTTAGTCATATGTTTATTTGTTATATTTATCTTACATTTTTGTTTCAGGAAGGAAAGAATGCATTCAAGGCTCTTTTGGAAAATGCAAATGTAGCTTCTGATTGGACATGGGATCAGGTACTTGTTGACTGTTTATTAAAAAGTAAATTTTGTGTTCATATATATATATATTAAACATTTTTATTTGTTGTAATAGGCAATGAGAGTAATTATAAATGACAGAAGATATAGTGCTCTTAGATCACTTTCAGAACGAAAGCAGGCTTTCAATGAGGTGATTTTAATTTTTAATAATGTTTGCCATTTTTAATTGGTAAAGTAAAACTAAAACTTGTCTAATATATATTTTTGATTTAATTTTAATGTTTCAGTTTATTGGACAAAAGAAAAAACATGAAGCAGAAGAGAGGAGGAATAAACAGAAAAAAGCACGTGAGGAGTTTAAAAAAATGCTAGAAGTAAGTCAGCTATATTGTTTTGTTTCTATGAAATTATTTTATTCTTGTTTACAATCTTTGTTTTTATGAAATTATTCACAGGAATCTAAAGAGATTACTTATACCACTAAATGGAGGTAAATGTTAAATGATATAGTATTCATTATAAACAATTATTATTATTATTATTATTATTATTATTATTATTATTGACTTTTGATTGAAACTTTGATGTAGCAAAGCAATTGCAATCTTTGAGGATGATGATCGTTTCAAAGCTGTTGAAAGATTTAAAGAGCGTGAAGAGTTATTTGAGGATCATATAATGGAACTTGAGAAAAAGGTCAATTGGTCAAAGATTCTTTGATTCTTTGTTTTTTATTTATATTATATAATTGTATATATGTATGTTAAATATGCATATGACATGACAAATTAAAATTTATTTTCAGGAAAAGTCTAAGGCTTTAGAGGAGCACAAGAAAAACAAAAAGGAATACATTGAATTTTTGAAATCTTGCAACTTTCTCACGGTATTTTCTCTAGCTTATTTAAAAAATATATTTTCTTTGTTTAATTTATTCCTTTTTTATTTAAAATTTAAATTTATATATTTAGGCAAGTAGTCAATGGAGAAAAGTGCAAGATCGTTTAGAAGCTGATGAAAGTTGTTTGCGCCTTGAAAAAGTCGATCGCCTAGAAATTTTTCAAGTATTTTTTTTTTAAACTTTTTTTTTTAATATAAAAAAAGAATCATTTCATTTTATTAAATTATTCGTTATGTCTCAGGAATATATACATGATCTAGAGAAGGATGAGGAAGAGCAAAGGAAACTACGAATGGTATAAATTAAATTCACTAATATATAATAATCCTTAATTATTATTTTTTTTTGTGATTATTATTTTTATTATATATATACAGGAAGAAATAAGAAAAACAGAGCGAAAAAATCGTGATGAATTTCGCAAGCTGATGGAAGGGCATGTTGCTTCTGGAATGCTTACTTCAAAATCTCACTGGCGTGAATATTGCAATAAAGTAAGTCAATAAAGTTTTTATCTTTTTTTTTTAATAAAAAAAGACATTAAGATTAATGTTGTGTTATATAGGTAAAAGAATTACCTGCATATTTAGCAGTGTCATCAAACAGTTCAGGTGCCACCCCAAAAGATCTTTTTGAAGATGTATTAGAGGAGCTAGAGAAACAGGTAATTCCTTTTTTTTTTAAAAAAAAAAACCCTATTGAATTAATTGTGTACATATATATAGATTTTATAATTTTGAATTGTTTGCTGATATTTGTTATATCAAATAGTACATTGAGGATAGGGATCGAATAAAAGAAGCAGTGAAAATGAGAAAGGTGTCCATGTCCTCTTCATGGACTCTTGAAGAATTCAAGAATGCAATTGCTCAAGACATTACTTCTTCACCTACAGTTTCAGCTGTTAATTTAAAGGTGTGTGTTTTTTTTCACCATAAACTTATTTTGATGGTTGTGGATAATAATTAAAAAAGTTTTACTTTTTTTTTTTTTTTTAAAGATTGTATTTGATGAGTTACAAGAGAGAGTTCGTGAGAGGGAAGAGAAAGAAGCAAAAAAGCGTAAACGTCTTGGAGATGACTTTTATTTATCTTTGAGTAATTCCAAGGTTTGGTTTGATTAGATTTTTATATAAATAATATGTCAAATGAAACTGGAATTTGTTTCTTTTTAATTTAATTAAACATGATATTCCTTCAGGAAATTACTTCATCTTCAAGATGGGAGGATTTTAAGCCACACTTTGAAGCCAGACAAGAAAACTGGTATTTTTCTTACATTTATAAAAGTGGGTTCTAAAAGGAATAAAAATATGATATATATTTTGATGTAATTTTTTTTTGTTATACAGGTTTACAGTAGAAGAAAGTTTTTTTAAGGAGATATTTGACAAACACGTAACAGAATTAAAGAAAGCAAGAGACGAGAGGAAGCACAGGGAGGATAAGGTAATGTCTGAATAAACAAAAAGTTATATTTAAAAAAACGTCTTAATCGATTAATGTAATCAGGCGAAAAAGAGTCTGGATAGGAGAACGGAGAAATCAAGAAGGGAGAAAGATAGAAGTAGTAAAAAAGATAAACGTAGAAAAGATGATTCAGACAGTGATAATGGGGAAAGACCTGGAGACTCATTCAGTCATGATGATAATAATAATAATAATAATAGTAATAATAGAAGGTCTGTAAGAGAAAATAATAATAATAATAATAATAAAGAAAAGAAGCATAGAAAACGCGACAGGAGTTTAGAACACGAGGATGATAAAGATCGGTCTAGGGATTCTTACAGACATAGTCTTGAACGCAAAAGGGTAAAACAGGTAATTTCTTCTCTTATTCAATTCTTTTTTTTTTTTTTTATTTTTTTTATTTTTTATTATTTTATTGAAGAAGGATTATGCTATATGAGTTATTTTTCTATTTTGTGTAGTTGGAGCAACAATCATCAGTGGAGTATGAGAGCAGACATAAGAGATACAAGAGAGATCACAATAGACGTGGTGAGTATGATGATCAAAAAGAAGCTGAAGATGGTGAAGTTTGGTAGTTAGTTAATTAACTGATTTTTCTTCTGTAGATATAATTTTAGTTTCAATATAAGCTGATTTATGTTGTTATAATCATACTTATTCTCTTTTTCAGTCTCTTAATGATTAAAAAAAAATAATAATAATTACCATCAACATACACAAAACATATCAAATACCTTTTTTTTATACCAATCTTGTAACTCATGCAACAAACATACACCAGTTGCATTTCACAATGATTAAGATAAGAAAGTACAAGATCTCAACAGAGTTTGCTAAATAAATTCTTGAGGCATTGAACACAAGGTAATTACCATAATATCCCTGACAAGTTCATGGTCATCCATCCTGGCAAAAAAGATAACTTTAGTACACCTGTGTTCATAAGTACTAAAGCTTTTGGTGTAAATAATGAAAACTATAACAACAAACTAGTTAAAAATATATTTAGTTTCTTTACAACTGAATCATAAAATTACTAAAAAACCAACCTTAGATACGAGGTTGTTGTTGGCCTTCATCAAACTTGTGAGAACACTCTGAGTATGCAGATCCGATACCCACTCCTGCACCAAAAGCAACAGATGCCCAACGTGTAGCAGGAGAACCTGATAACAAAATAATCATTTATAATGATATGAAAATACAAAGGAATTCAACTCTTTACCTCCAGACTTGATGGGATTTGGGTACAATTATACATATACAGATATACTAGAGTAGGATCATAGCAAAAAAAATAAAAATCACACATTTAAGGCGATAATTCTAGAACAATCAACTTCTACAAATACGAATTTGTTACTCATTAATTCGATTTGAGCATCCATCAACTTCTGAGGTCAATTTTGCTAATTTAGTTTCTCTTATTCATGTAAGATATGCGTGGAATTCAAAATTGTCTCTCCAGAAAGCCCTTATCGATACTTATAGAACACACTAACAATTCAATTAGCAAACAAAATGTAGTTGATATGCATCTATTACTAGTGGATTTTGGTCATTAGAAATCCAACAATTATACGGTGTAAAGTGAAAGTGAATGCAGGGCAAACATCAGAACATATAGAGTGAAATCACAAAAGGGGGAAATGAGAATTGAGACTGCTGGAGAACTTACGGAAGAGGAGTAGGGCAGCAAGAGCGCCGGTGGCAGAGGAGTATACGAATCGACGAACACCCAAATCAAGATACGCATCCCACTTTGCATTAAGATCGTACGCAGATGATATCTCTTTGCTTTCGGCCATTCTTTCTTGAATTTGAGATTTGAAAACCAGAGAGAAATTATTTTTCCCCTTTGTTAACAAGACTTGTTTCCTCGTAATTTCAAAGGTTAAAAATATTTTCCTGGACCATCTTCAAAAAGTACCATCTTCGGAAACAAAAAGCTTGAACACAATGAAAATGAATTCTGCGCGAGCCCTAGTGGATTGGGTATTGGGCCAGTTCTAAAAAGGATTTGGATTTGGACTTTTCTAAAATAAATGCTATCAGGATTGTATCAAGTGATGGTAGAGAGACTAACAATGTTAGTAGCTTATAAAGGGTGAATGTTTGTCGTTTTTTTTTTAAAAAAAATACTACAACATGTAAATTCCTCCAAGTTCGATCTCAGTTAAACCAAAAATATACATATATATCATGCACAACTTTAAGAATGTAACTTTTTGGCCAAGGATAGATTATTTATATTTATTGTTCCTTGTGTGTTAGTTAACTATTTGGAAAATCACTGTTGAATAACAGATATTAAATCCTAGCCTTTCTAAATACCTATGGTTAATCATTCTTTTTTCCCGTACAGTTTACTTTGATGATTTTAGTGTTACCAATATACCCCTATTTTAGTGTAGTTAGTATTATTATCGATACATGATGAGTTCACTTTATTCACCGAGACTGAACGTGTGGGGTGGACACTCAGAGTAATAAAATTTGGAATTAGGAATACGGGGGTCTGGGGCAGCGCCTTGGATACATGGTTCCAAGGGGCAGAGCCTGTGGCGGTGTCAAGGGTAAAACCAAATATTTTTGGCAAATATGAGGGTTTTCTTGCGAATTTAATATCATGGTAACCTGAAAAACATGTAAAAAAGTAAAAACTATTAATTTGGAGAAACATCAAACGTATCATTAAATATGTTAGTTTTTAACACAAAACATAGTGAACATTTTAATCTATTTTATGTATTTATTTTTAACTACTTAAAAATTAATATCTAATCTCTTACTTGGCATGGGCTTGTTACTAAATTCATGTGGTTTAAACATATCTAGTCATGAAATTTACACTCTCACTAATTTCAAATAATAACAATAATAAGCCGCACATATTCTTAATATAATATAATTTTTTCTAAGATAATTAAACAAATAACAAAACAAATATAGTATCTTAAAACGAAGAATGATTGTCATTACAATTACAATTTACAAGGATATGTAATATACCAATATACTTTGATCAACTTTGCTCTAATCGTGGATTTGCCATCTCATAATATTGTTTTTGTAAAGAGGGTAAACGCCATTTTAGGCGGCCTTGCTGTTGTTGTATGGTTGCATGTCACAAGAAATCCTTTTATTCTTATTTCTAATTTCTAGAGTAAACAGTATCCGAGTATTATATGTATGGTATTTCTTTTTATACTGAACTAGTATTTTGCCCGCCGCATGTTGTCGTGACGCTAATACGTTTTGTAAATTGAATTATGACAATTATATTGATAAAAGTTAGATAACGTTGCATTTGTTGCTGAATAAATATACAAGGTGGGTAAACACGGAAGTTTAGAAAGTCAAGGGGTCAAAGTGACATTTTACAAAGTTCAGAGGCGAAAGGGGGTTAAAGTGACATTTGACAACGTTGAGGGGTGTTAACTGTAGGACAATCATATTATATATACAATGCGGGTTAAACACAAAACTTTAGAAAATGGAGGGGTGAAAGTGATATTTTAGAAAGTTCTAAGTTGAGGGGACTAAAAGTGACATTGTACAAAGTAGATGGTTAAAAAGTGTCATTTCACAGAGTTGAAGGGTGACAAATGTCAGTGAAAACATCCACGGCAGGTTGGTACCACTGACTAACTCCAACTTTATACCGCCGAATGAAAACATATTATAAGTGACTAAACATAACGTAGCAAACTTGCATAAAATTAAACACAAAAAACATACACAAAGTTAACGTTGAAACGTAAAGAACCTCGAATTTGTACCAACACGTACATAAAAATAAACAAATAAGATTTTTTTTAAGTTAACGAATAGAAGTTCAAATAATAAAAAGCGTCTTATATGTGACGCGACTCATGCGTAGGAAGCGACGAAGAGTAAACAAAAATAAGCACTGATACGTAAAAAATTTACGTCGAAACGTAGTCAAACTCGAATTTATACCAACATGTACGTAAAAAAACAAGTTAGTTTTTTTTTTAAAAAAAAAACAAACGAAAGTCTAAATTTACATCGAAGTGTTGACTGCCTTGAATTTATACCGACACATATATAAAAATATGCACGTAAAAAATTAGTTTTTTTATAACGAACAATCAAAAGTAACTAAGAAAATTCATATTATATATAATACGGGGAATAAACATAAAAGTTTAGAAATAGGAGGGCGTGGAACTAATATTTTACAAAGTTAAAAATAGAAAGGTCAATTGACATTTTATTGACATTTTAAAAAGTAGATGGATGAAAAATATCATTTTACAAAATATTTTAAAAAATAGAGGGGTAGATAGTGGGTGTTTGGGATAGATTTTCAAAATAGTTTATTAACTTATTAGATTTTCAAAAAGCTAATAAGCTAAAAATGTATCTTGGTCTTAAAAAAATAATTTTTGAAACAGTTTTTTGGAGCTTTTTAAAAAGGCAAAATGAAAAGGTTTCTAAAAGCTAAAGAATAAGAGCTTTTTAGCTTTTTAACCACAAAATTACAAATATACCCTTACCCACCGCATTCAATTTTACAGGTCAAAACACCCATATTAAGATTCTTTCATCTCATCTCTCCCATGTGTCTCTCGTTCTTCACCAGGAAAGCACCCAATTTCTGCTCCGATTTCTGCTCCAGTTCAGCGACGATCCTCCTTTGATTTCTAGTCTAGTTCAGCGTCGCCGACTTCGGATTCAACCTCCACTTCCGACCCGGTAACAACTGCGATTTTTTCCTGTTTACATTGCATCTCATATTTGATTCATCTGGAAATTGCATCTCCGATTTTTTTTTCTGTTCATCAGCTCCATCTTCGATTTGTATGGTTTTTCACCATTTAAAACGCAGTGGGTTGTAGGTATGGTGAAGAAACAGTTTCATTGTTGTTTTTTTCTTGGTTCGGTACCCATAGTGGATATTGCATCCCCCATTTTTTTGGAATCAGTTATATTGAGAAATTTGAGCTGTAAAAATTGAGAAATTGATGAAATTGGAGAGGGATTATTGATGTTAACTGTGAAATTGATGAACCTGTTAGTTGTGTTAACTGTGAAACTATGAAATTGCTTATATGTGTTTGAATTGCCTTGGTTTGATGTTAATTGTTAGTTTGTAATTATGTTAACTGTGAAATTGGTTATATGTGTGTGAATTACCTTGGTTTGTTTATTGTTAGTTGTGTTAACTGTTAGTTTGTTTACACTTCCTATTATGTAGTTCTCAGATAATGGACGAAAACTACACTAATTTTGTTGATTGTGAACCATCTAAAGAAAAGAATATAACAAAATGTGTATGGGATAGTCAACCTTCAAGGAGTTTGTTGATGCGTGCGTGATTGAATTTAATAAAGGGCATAGAACCAGTGGTCATTTCAATAAGATTGGGTTATTTATGTGTTTATGTTATCCTTTATGTGTTATCCTTAATTTAATAAAGGGCATAGAACCGGTGGTCACGACTGATGAAGCGAAGATGGAGTTCCTTAAGTTAATAATAGAATAATGAATAATAATGAATTGTGTTATTGTAACATCCCAAGATTTGTCATTTATAGTTCCTGTGGATGGAAGGGTAAAGCAATGAAAAGCCTAAGGGCTAAGTTGCAATTTTGGGACCAGGA